AAAAGCAATCAAACATGTATTAATTTGTATCACGCCAGTGTACTTATTAAACAAATGAAAATAATGAAACAGCATTACAATGTCATATATTGTGTTATTTTTTGTACATAAATTTTGCTCTTCTGTTACTGAGAATCAAACTTCTTCATGACTCTGGTTAAAGTCAGGGATGTTTTAATGTTTTAATTATAGCAAAGAAAGTTCTCTGCAGAGAAAAAAAATACTGTTTTTTAATCAAACTGACAAGTTTCTCCAGTAAAGTTATTGTGTAATTTAAAGGCATTGAAACACCTGGTTAAATTTAGAAGGTATTATGATTAACTACAAACATCTGAAGCTGACTCAGAGAACTCTGTGATTTTATAAAAAATAAAAGTCAAATGTAGACACGTCTTTAAGAGACGTCTTGGGGAGGTTAATAAGGTACTCCACTGTGGTGACAAATCAACTCTGATTCTCATGCTTTTCAACACTGCATTGAGTGGTTAACACTCAATGCCCCCCCCCACCACCACCCCGCACAGCTGCGGTCAGCGCACCTCTTCTCCATCCGCGTGATTAATACTGTTTTTTTGCGCAAATTACAGATTTTTTATGCTCATAATACACGTTAAACGTCTGAAGGGGTTGACGTGTGAACCCTTCAGTCCCGGGCCGGGCTGGTCGGAGCTGAACTGCTGCAGACTGACTGGTTCAGCTGCTGTAAAGTCGCTGCACCTCGCTTTAAAAACAGTCAGCTGATCCGTAGCGGTTTTGTTGCGCTCGTGACGTGAACACACAGGGGGAAATGCTGCAAAGTGCTTTCAGAAATATAATAAATATAAAATACGACGTAATCCTTGGTAGAAAATAGTCAAGGAGACATGTGCGTTTCCGGGAGGTGTTCACCTGCAGCTGAGTGAAGCTGACCCCCCACCCACAGAGAAAGGAAAAATAGGCAGTAATTATTGATAAGGTAGTAAGCATGCTGTGGCTTCACCTGTCGCATTTCCTTTTAAAGAAAGAAAAAGTAGCTTGCAAAGCTGTCGCATCGGTGCAACGTGATTAAAAGCAGAGCTGCGTATCTAATCACACACACACGTCTTCCTATCTTTGTGAGGACCACACACAGCGCTCAGCCTCACTCTGCACCGTTTTTTCCCCCAAGTTTGGTGAGAGGTGGATATGAAGGGTCTCAAAAAATAGCTCTCGACTTGATCTGGCCTTATTTAAATAAAAATGACTACATGCCGTGAAATTCTTAGAGGGGCGGTCTCATTGGCTGGGGGGTGGGAGCGGCGCCCCGCCTGTATAATGGTAGGGGAAACACTGGAAGAGTATTTGAATATTGTTAAAATGTCAGTGTTAACTTTTCAGAGTCAATTTTACACCCCCTAGTGTTATTTTTAACACTTTCTGAGTAAACTGAATTCCAGTGTTGGTGTTAATTCGCAGTGTTGATTTCCTCAATGTTGTCTCAACACTGGATTGTGTTAAATAAGCTCTGCCCACTGTTAAGCCTTATATAACACTTAACAGTGTTGTTATATGCAGTGTTGAAAGAAGTTCTGAAAAGTCCCGCCCACCTCATGTCAGACAGACCAGTGTTTTCACAGCAAGAAATGCTGGGTAATCTTGTAGATGAAATGTTTTTGTATGTTTATGACTATTAAAGAAGTTCATGAGAGTAAAAATTAGTTCTGGTTAGTTTTCTTGTTCAGGTTTATCAGTTGATCAAGTTGTGTTATTGGCCATAAATCAACACCATGAGTGAGAGGTACTTCTGCTGCGTGAAGATCAATTCCGTTACACTTAACCAGAAATCACTGTGTAATATTAATGCAACACTAAAAAGAGTTGATCTTAACTCTAAAGTGTTAAACTTACACTTTCAAATTTGCTGTAATAAAACCTCATGGTGTCTGTTTTACACCTCTCTACACAGCAAAAGAGTAAATAATCAACACAGCAGAGTGTCTAACACTTGTAGGAGGTATATGAACCTCCAGTGTTAACCACTCAATGCAGTGTTGAAAAGCATGAGAATCAGAGTTGATTTGTCACCACAGTGGAGTACCTTATTAACTATGTTTAGAATAATATTTACTCTCATCAGTTATTTGACGAAGTGTCGATTTTTATTAACACTGTACAGTGTTAGTCAGTGTTAAGTTTTATTAACACTGTACAGTGTTAGTCAGTGTTAAGTTTTAACTCTGTTTAGAGTTAAATTGTACTCTGAAAATTTAACACTATGGAAAGTGTTAAATTGACACCACTTCAGATAAGGACCGAATAGACTCGGACACAGTGTTAAATTTAACTCTTTAAGTGTTTATTTAACACTGCAAAATTTGCAGTAGGACAGAGTCTCATGGCAGCAAAAGCTCACACCAGGCACAAATGTCATTGGCAAAAATGCCAAAGGTCACATACAGTAGAGTATGATTAGAAAGAGAAGAAAAAAAGACATATTGCAACTGATATTATTTCCAGTATCATGCAGCCCTCACCTCCATACCATCAGAGTCAGATTTTTGAACTGAGTGCTGATAACGGGCTGGATGGTCCCACTCCTTTTTAATACAGAGAATGTGGCGTTTGTGGTTTCCCAGTCAAATTTCAAATTTATGACATTTTGTCTGGTCAAAGAACAGTTTCCAATTTGTCGCAGTCAGATGGTGGTGTTCACATTTCATTAGATGAAAAAGCTTTAACCTGCATACATGATCCAGGGAACTATGTTTATAGACAGTGATCTGCAGACCTGTTTTTAGGCCTGAAAATTATGACCATCAAATATGAACTTTCAGTCTTCTCCTTTTAGCTCAGAGATTTCTCCAGATTATTGAAAACATTTCAGGATGTTATGAGCTTAGATGATTGAATATTCAAATTTATCTAAATTTTCTGTTGAGGAACTTTGTTCTGAACTAGGCTGGGCTGAAAATTGTATCACAATATAACTGTTTCATGTCGGTCGATATTAGGGTTGGGCAAAATCGTATCTAGTGCAATTAATTGGCAGAAAAACTTAATTTTTTTGGCACTTGACAGTTAATAGGATTAATGCCACCGCTTGGTGCTCCTCTTTCCTATTCTAGGAGTTTGAGAACTTTATGCTAGTTTGGTGGGGTGGACTGAGGTGTTTTTCCATGAATCTGTCTGTCTTTCGTTGCCTCCCACTGCAGCGCACTTAAAATATGATTAACATTAAAAAAGTTCTGTAAATTATTAATCATATCTCCAGTTTTACTTGGCCCATCAACACAATTTAAAAACTGATGCATAGCCTGAAGTCTGTACTTTTGACACAATTTGGAAGAGATTTTTAGGGAGAGCAAATCTTTCCCACTAGAGTGATTTAAATTGGTCATGTGATCAGGACATGCAGGCATCCAGGGATGCCAGGTAATTAATCGTCATTTTAATCGTTATCGGCTAAATACCACAATTAATCATGATTCATTTTTTTGCCAATATCCCTCAACCCTAGTCGATATCAATATTTTTTTTGTTTTACCTGTTTGAAATGAGGACCAGGAGAAAAAAGGCTGCTTAATCCTGCCTAACTGGTGACATGACCTTACGGTTTCTCCTCAAGCTGTTGTATCATTTTCTTCTTTTTCTCCAYGTTATTTATTTATTTATCTATTTATTTATTTATTTTTTGAAGCATTTATGAGGCACAGTGTTGACACATGAAGTCACTACTGCGCCTTTCCTCTGCCTACATCACCCAGAATGCCGTGTGGTTTTGTATTGGAGTTCAGTGAAATTATCAACATTATATTTGACACATTCTTCATTGATATCGATCATGTGTCAATCACGACATATGCTGATATTGAATTATTTCCCAGCCCTAATTCTGAGAGATTCAGCCTCTATCCAGTCACTAAATTGTAAAGTTTGAAAATAAATACATACAGTATTAACAGTTTTCTCATCTTCTTATTTTTATCTTATTTATTTCTGTTCAGCACAGAATAAAAAAATCTATTTTGTTGTCTGTGTTTTGTACACTGAACAGTTAAACATCCTGGTGGATACAGGAAGTAGCAACTTTGCTGTCGGTGCGGCTGCTCACCCGTTCCTGCGCAGATACTACCATCGATCGCTGTGAGTACTGACAGGAATGTCAAACCTGCCGCCGCTGGTAAACATGTGTACGCACTAACCTCCTGTGTTCATCCGCAGCTCTACGTCTTACCGCGACCTGGGCAGAAGCGTGTACGTTCCCTACACTCAGGGCCGCTGGGAAGGAGAGCTGGGCACAGACTTGGTCTCAGTGCCACACGGCCCGAACGCAACGCTGCGAGCCAACATCGCCGCAATCACCCAGTCAGACCGCTTCTTCATCAACGGGTCAAACTGGGAGGGAATCCTTGGACTCGCCTACGCTGATATAGCTCGGGTAATGAGATTTGATCTGTTTTAAGTCTGAAAAAGTTTGAAATAAATACATTTGCAGAAGTTTCATGTACAGTGGCTGTAAAAAGTATTTACCACTTGGATGTTTTACTCCTTTATTGCTGGTAAAAATCAGTCGTCTACATCAACCATGACCAACAATGATCAACTTTTGCACAGTGCCCTGAGACGACTTTCATTGTGACTTGGTGCTGTTCTGTATAAATAAACTGAATTGAATTATAAATTGGTCTTTTTGACAAAAAAATAAAAATGAATGACATAGTGAAATGCACAAGTTTTCTGTGGTGGCACAGAACAGCAGTGACATCGGAGCCAGGGACTCTTCACTTCAGTACAGATCACATTTTGAAAAATGAACAAGATTTTTTTTGTAACATTAGACTTTATTTGATAAACATAACTGTAAAATAAAGACTGTTAAAATACTGTAGGATGTTTAGTTTTGTAAATTTTTTAAAATATATTTTAACACGGACGGAGCCTTTTTTTTACACACAAAGCATTCTGGGTAAATGATGATAGGTCCTCGGTG